GCAAGGCTTTGTCCAAATAACGAAATCCACGTACGAAACGGTCCGATGTGGCGTGTAAGCGCGAATTTGTATGCAAATTGACGACGGCACCGCAGGTGGGCCCGCACGCGGTGCGAATCCGGCACGACTACGGCATCGGACGGAATACAACCGGCACCGCATCAAAACTGCATACTGCGTGGCTTTAGAAAATAAATTATGATTTTGATACTACATAATAATTTGACCATTAAATACACTATTTTAATGGAATGTATGCTACATACTTAAGTAGCAAAGGATCACGTCTAATTAATTTTTACGAACGTACGCCGATCCCACACTTCTTAATGTAGGTATTGTAAAAATAAAACGATTTAATGTCGGTATTTCAGCGATTTCTTTCTAAATGTAACACTTAGGAGTCGATTCTTTAAATTCTTAACAAAAATAAAGGCAAATTGGTCGGACTACTATCTTCGCGTTAAAGCGTGCGTCGGTAACTGCCGAAGTACTGAAAGTGCTATCAAGGTGGACTTCTGTAACGACCCTCGAAATAGGGAGGGGACACATTGCGACATTTCGAATACCGTTCGGTATCAATAGGCGACGATCATATCAAAAAGGACTTTATCTAATGCAAAAGTGTGGTAGCGACGAAGATTTACAAAAATAAAAATGAATACTTTATATAACATTGAACTAATGGAGTAAGTGTAAGCACAATATAAAAAACCTAATACCATTAAAATTATTAAAATCAATCACCAATATCTAAAAATAGATTCGGCACAATAACAAAACCTTGCTAAAAATACCAGCCTCTACAGAACTTCAATTGAGTTATGAAATACAAACTCATTTCTTCAGCAAAATCACATTGAATCGAGAGTACGTGTATTCTCAAATCAAATTATCGATATTGATTGGTATCGGTAGCTCGCGGGCGCGTCCCTAAATATCAAAAAGGGAAGCGAGAGTGAATTCCTTTCACCTGATAGAACGGTTATTAGCCAATTCGAAGTCCATTCCGTTCCTAATAGAGGTGTAATAAAAGGGTCTTCTCTCTCTATTTTTTCTTTTATTTGTTCAAAAGGTAAAAATAAAAATTTTCTTATTCAATTTGCTTTGGCTCCGTCGTTAGGATTTTATTCTTTTCTACCTTTCGTGTTATTTCTTTTTTCCTGTCTTTGTTTTGTGCAATGATCAGTTGTTGTTGGTGATCTCTCTTATTTTCTCTTCTTCCTAATTAGTGTGAGAACAAAACAGGTTTATTCGAGTTTAATATTTTAAGTTCCTTTAAACTATCAAACTCCGCGAGGACACCGGTGACCGCAACCTATTGTTCTTTAATGTGTCTATAATGACGGTACTCAAAGAGTTAAAATGACAGTATGAACTTTGCAAAATGTTTAATATTTATTACATTTGATGACATACTTAGAAATACTTAATAGCTATAAATTAATAATTAATAATTATTTTAAATGTTATGGAGACTAAGAGATGCTTAAATATTTTATATTTCAATGATTGTCTCATTTCCCAATTATTTGCAAGTTGGTAAGACGTGTTCGGTAATCTTTCATATTTGGATGTATCTCTCTTGATTGCATTAAAACTTCTCACCTATATTCATAGATTTGGACTAAATTCAAAGCACATACATTGACATTCAGCCAATAATCTGGTTGAATCTCATTACCGTCCCCAAAATGACTGAAACAGGGGCCTACAAAAGAATAAAATCCACTGACTTACCATTTGAATGACGACTTTAAAAGTGCAATACAAGTGAATATGAACCAATATAAAACCTCTTATTTCCATCACTCACCCAACATATAAAACACCGGCACAATATTTCCTGAGCACATGTTCCTTCTCGTATGTACCTCGCTTCTCCCCTCGAATCGAAACCTATTTTTGATTGTGCCTCCATCTCTTTCACACACTTTTTGCACCCACCGGTGTTAAGAGTTCTTTAATGACAGGAAAATTGAAAGTTGGCCGCTTACCAAAAAAAGTTAAGGAACAGTCGTAAAAAATGTGCTCACGAGATAATGTCCAAATGATGTGTTTTGAGGTAGAGTTTTTTGGAAAGTTGTTCTGTCTCTCTGTCAGATTTTTGTTAAAAGTTGCTCAAATTCGACTGCTAATTGTTAAATCGAGCGGGGAAAGTGTTCGTACAATTACACATAAATTCAAAAGTGGATTCGTTATTAATCTCGCAATAAACCTATTTGCTCTAAGTGTGGGATAGCCATGCTTCGGCACGAATGGGCCGGCTCGACCGGAACGATACCACGACCTCAAAGAAAATCGACGGAAAATAATGCTTGCGATGTGAAAAAATGAAATAACACTTGCGCATCTTGTGTCGCGGGTGTTCATGGGCGCGGCGGTGCCGATTGCTTACGATCAGGTGATCCGTCTTCTTGTTTATCGGTTTATCCCATAAAAAAATAAATGACATTACTGTCATCACTAAATGATGAATGAATAACATGATTGTTCAAACATAACTTTTAAACACAAGCTAAGCATTGTTCTCTGATCAAACACTGAAGAAGATACGGTTGGTAGCCCTACCAGTTGTACCGACCTCCGGTAGGGTTGGCACATTTGGTAGGTAAAAGTGTAAAGTTATTGAAATTCATAAATCACGCGTCCGTGCCCAATATACAGGGTGTGCTTGTTTAACAAATATATCGCGTGTTAGAAGAACACGTTGACTCGGTACTACGGTTTGGTGAAGCGTGGTACAAGCGATAAGATTGATGCGTATTACAAATGGTTTTTAGGGATGTTTTTATTCGTGACTCATTGGCAGGTTATGGTTATGACAGCCTCATTGGCCGAGTAATCGCAAGTGCGACTACCGGGCAGGGGCTCTCGGGTTCTTTTCCCGAGACCCCTAGTAGCACGGAGTCTGGAAATGTGCCCGTTATATGGCAATAGGCTCACTCCCTATCACGGGGACTCATAACGTTAATAGTGAAAAGTAGGTGTTATATTATACAGTGGCTTTAAGTGCCGTAATGTAAATTCTAAAGGCCGGCAACGCACCTGTGACTCCTGTGGTGTTGCGGGTGTCCATGGGCGGCGCTGATCGCTTACCATCAGGTGATCCGTCTGCTCGTTTGCCTCCTATTCCGAAAAAAATGTGCACCTCTGCCTACTCCTTCGGGGATAAAAGGCGTGATGTTATGTTTTTATGAGTGCAAAACTTTAGGTATTCAGTAAATACAGAGTTACCCTTTTGTTCGATACTTCTTGATTTTTTACACAGAATACAAATCTGATAATATAATATTACATTTGTAATCGCTAATTGCTCTTGCACTTTTACTAGTATATCATAGTAGCATAGAAATGGTAGAATATCAGGCGAAATAAGTTTTAAATTAAAATTAGTTATATCTATGAGTTACATGCCTGTAGGATCACTTAAATAAGCAAGTACTCGTGAGGCGAAGTAAATGTAATGCCAAAGCAAAGTAAAATCATTTCATCAACATTTAACACATTATAAACTCACTTCACCCGCTACCGCTCCAACTTGCGGCAGCATCACGTAGCAGCGATAGATCAAGTCCACCTGTAATATTAACGCTTCACTATCAGTGCCACATGGCGACGCTCGCCGTGCCCCACTCGCTGCGACTAACAAAAAGTATTTGTCAAACACTCTGATGTGTGTTTGAGTACCGTGCGTGAAACTGCGTGCTGCGTTGCTCCGATCCCTGAATTATTTGCGAATGCGATTTTCGAACAAAGCTCTGTTGTGACTTTGTTTTACTATGTTTTTGGTTCAAGTTTAAATCGATTTTTAGTTTCTAGTTATTTGTTTTACAGTGAAGAATAGTCTTTGTTAATGACATTTTAGCTTGCTTACTAATTGCACAATACAGTGGGCATACATTGCTAATACGTTCATATGCTGTCCGTTGGTTGGTTGCCTTCTATTCTAGACATGCTGGTTACTTACAAATAGACCCAGTGTCCAATACTATCGAGTCTCGAGGTTTTACCATTTGTATTGGCCTACCCTAGATTTCATTTTTATTGCTGGGAAATTTAGTACATTTTACTTTTAGCGACTATCATTATGCTGCACACCAACAACAAGATTGATTAGAACAAAGTTAGTCTTTCTGTACAGTCACTCAGTTGCAATTGAGTTACTATTCGGTATCACGCAGTTATACTACCAAATAGTAAACATGAGTATCTTCAATCTCTTAACATAGGTAAGGCGTACCGTAATACCGGCGTGCATTAACACCTCGGAATCAAAGCGTCTTTGAAACCGCGCGTAATCTCCACAACACGTCTGGTTATCTGCCAACCTCATACGTAGAGAAAAATGCTCTACTTCTAACAATATTTTCAGACATTGTCATATTGTTGGAGAAGATGATAAATTATTTACAAGTAACTAAAAACAAGTAGTTTTACATACTACTGTCTTAAAAAAGACTAATAAGAAGTTTCAAGATTTAAGAAAAAATTGTTTGTAAACTCTACGTTTTGCAATTGATTCGGTATTCAAAATTTAGTATTAGGTAATAGTGATGCAGAATCTTCTAGTAATAACTAAAAAATGTGAATAAATTTTAATTTTTGAGTACAAAAAAACTATATTTAAATCTATATAAAATGTTTAATTTGAAGTAGAGCAAATTTCAGTGCGTGTATAGTACGTTACTATTTGCCACAATGGAACTCCTTTTTCGGTCCTTTGTGGGGCTAGCTTTGATTAACTTTGATGTAGGTGAGTGCTCCAAGGTAGTGCTATCAGCTAATGGATTGTCTCACTCCTTGTGTTCTTCCTAACGATACCTGAAACCCTTTGACGGCATTTTTTCTTTGCCACTCCAGTGTTTATTGTGTGATGTATTTAAATTGTATTGTATCTTTTCTGTGTTATGTTTGAGTACATTAATGTGGATTGTGTTGTTGTTGAAACATGTTTAGGGTTAAGTTTAGGTAAAGGGATATGCAATAAAACGGTAAAATTAAAATCAAACAAGTATATTCACTATCCTATCCTCTAGTATTGCGCAAGAGTTATATAACAAAACAAGACAATCAGTCAGGGTATATAGGTAACAGTATTTCTCTTGCATGCTCGGTCAGTTTAGACTAGATATTGAGTAGTAAGTTGAGAAAAGACTTATTGGGGGGCCTTGGGAAGGTGAGCACCCTCGGGCTGGAAGCCGAGCTCGTTGGCGATGTAGTTGACGGCGTAGACAACGCCGTCGGGGCCGGTGTAGGAGAACTGGCCGCGGACCTCGATAGCCTCGTTCTCAGAGCCGACGTTCTTGAGCACACCCTGTTCCTGGGCAGACTTGCCGTCGCTGGTCTCTACACTGTAATGTAAATATTAGGATTAATATCGTCGAGAGGTGGCCATCATTGAATTCAACTGGCGGATTGGTATAGACAGTATTTTCTATGTTCAGCTTATACTAACGCATAGTTGTAGCCCTCAACTCCGATGTTGTCGTTGTCATAACGGACGATGACGGCGTCCTTGGGGTCGACTGGGACGGCGACGGCCACAGCGACGAAGAGAGCGAAGACAATGAACTGTACAAACAAACATATTATTAGAAAATATTAGACGTAAGTATCACTTATATTTTTTTATAAAGTGTCTCCAAATAACTTCATATCTATCAGGAAATAACAAATTCGTAAGTCGAATCTTGCGATTTATATTCAAAAAACTTGGTGACCTATCGAATTTTTTAGCGACATAATTAACACGAGACACAAATGTCAAGGTTCTATGCTATTTACAATTCTAGATGTAATGTGTAACATCATCTAAATGATAATGTAACACATCGTACTCTTGTAGAATATCGATAGACAAGAACTGGTCGGACAGGAATGAACTGATTCGAATGAATAATGTAGTGTTGTGATTATTTTGAAATTTTAAGACTGCAATCTCAAAAGTAAAACCATTGAAAAGTTGAATAACAATATTGATGAGTGCGGGGCATGTTTTAAATATATGTCTAGTGGCATTAAATGTTAAGTAAATTGTCAAACAAATTAAGTGGTTATTATTTGCTTATAGAGTAGTATTTGTATTACAGAACTAATGTGCGCGTAATACTCGCACTGTTTGACATCGGATGACATATTGCAAGATTGTACCGCGCCTTTTTGACCCATAGGATTTTGTTTAGGCGTCAAACTATGGAGCGAGGTCGATAGAAAAGGTTTGTCAGTAATTTTTTGAACAATTAAAAGTAAATAATTGATTAAACCGGTAGTAAATTAATTGATATATAAATTTATTTAATCTTATGGTACCTAAGAAACAATGGTAAAGTAGAAAAGTATTGAAAAATAATTAGAATGATGTGATAGTGTTGATTACAACTCACAATGAGAGAATATTATTGAATTTCACTTACGGATTTCATTTTTGGAGTTGGGAGGTGGGTGTTTGTAGTTGTAGAAGAGAAGAGGATGCAGTGATGACTGTGATGAATCTCAAAATATTTCACATTTATATACTTACACCGGGCCCGACTACTTTGCATATATTTGAATGCACGAGTTTGCTTAATCCACCAAACTTTAGCGTACCTCTTACATTTAGCCGGCTATAATTTTTCTAGATAATAGGGAACTTAAATATTCTAATGAGGGATCATTAGAGTTGCAGAACCTGAAATGTGACTTCTATCGATATTTGTCACAGATTTAGTCTTTATGTCGAAGACTTACGTGTCAATGTCTTTTGAACTAGTTTTACTTAGAATGTGGAACTGTGAATTATTTATTGTTTTGCTAAGGTTACGCTAAGATTGTGATTTGATTTTAATAATTATGATAATTATTTGTCTATCACATCGGTCGTGCGTGTTGAAGTTTTCATTTCTTATAGATTATCCTTGCTACAATATGCGGTTACCACTGTTTTTGTGTCCTGGATAGATTTTTTGTTATTATATATTTTACACAAATGCTTAGGAAGGTTTGTCGAAAAGAAGATTAAAACATGGTATTTACATTTATTGTATACCATCTACCTCTTTGGAAACTAGAAGGTGAGCTGTTGTGTTAGCACGGTGTTCCGTAATTGCCCATACATACATACATTCATCAAAATACAATAATGTACTTATGATTTTGAAAGGAAAGTAGTTTGTAATAAGGTAACGTCTGACAATAGAAAAACATATTGAACCGACATCTAGCCGCATTTGTTTTTTATTTGAGGCAGAAAATTTATCTAGATTCGTGAGATTCTGTTCTTATTGTGCTGATATACCATATATGACATAGTTCGCTGAATATTTTTGATGTCTCGTTGATGAGGTCCTCATCATCAGCCGCGATAAGGTCTGGTTCTGGTCGGTCGGCGAGCTACCCTTGCTCGCCAACCGCAGACCCGCACTTACGGTGGCCGGAGATCTTCGCGGGATCTCTGACGCCCAGAGTGTCTCCCGCGACGGGTGGGGCGTGAGGAAATTCGTTCCCTCACACTCCTCTTTGGCAAGCATGACTGTTTCGCAGTTTCCCCCTCGCTCCGTAAGACCATAACATGGCTTGAACTAGAGCCGGACGCGAGAGGTCTCTGTCACCTACTACATCCCTGAGGTCAAGGCGATGCTCAGCCCACGCAGGGCACACCGCCACTTGTGCTCCACCGTGTCCCCCGGCGGAGGTTGGTTGATTTGCAATAAGTTTGAGTGAGTTTGCCATAATCTTCAGGTAGAATCTAGATTGCAAAGCAAAATAAAGAAGTAGGTAAGTCTTCTGGTATAAGGATAAACAGTTTTTCCTCGTAATACGGTGACCTGTTTATTGTGTATAATTTTATTTATTTTCTTTTTTATACTATTTATACTAGGTACTACACATTTAGTACCTCAGTTTATAGAAATTAAACATCCCAAATGCTATTCAACTATCATGATATGCCGAACGAACGCGAGACACAATGGGTTTTCTATTGTGTCTTATATACCGACATTCAAGCGGTTAATGGGCGCCCTTATGGCTTAGATTTTAAAATTATTCATTATATAACTTTTTATTGATTTTGATGCGGACGAATTTTTTAATGCTCTGTGTAAATAGTTATTCTTAGCTTGTTTTCTTTATTTGGTTTTTATCTATTTGTTATAGTGTATCTTAAGTTGTACATATTTATTTATTTTTTATTTAAATTATAATTCTCCATTGTTAGTAGAAATAATAAAACGTGTGGTATATAATCAAACAGAAGAATTAACTAGGTTTTTATTTTCATACTCTATCTACTACACAACTGAAAGTGAACTTTTCATTTAGGAAGTAATTAAATATTCCATAAAATATATAAAATTGCATAAGAGGTGATAACTAGCACCATCACTAAACGCCTCTTAAGTTACTCTTGACCTTGGCATTCACTTTCCACGTCGATGTCATACGATCTAAAAAAGAAGACATTCATAAAATTATTCAACAGCTTATAAACCGGCTTTGAAACACATTATAGAACGTTACGTTTTATACGTAACGACACGGATACGACACGTTACAATACGATATATTACGAAAGCTTGAGTTAAGATTTTTTATTATGTTTTGTTGACTTTGCAAACTCTTTGCATAACATTTCCTTCTGCAGTATTCGTAGTAACTTCTGATACCATGAAGTCTTTATTATAGGGCATATACCTAAACAATGATTAATTAATGACCAAAACATTAAAAGTTAATATTAGGACTTGTGTTAATTGTGACTAACATTTCATTCTAAATGCCTCAAAGGCCCTATTATATTTGTATTGTTACCTTCGAGAGATATACATAAATTAATTATTATGTTCTTCGTCTTCGTCTATTTGTCTGTCTATCAGTAAAATGTATCCTTTAAACCGTGGCGTGGTAGCTACGCTCTTAAAATGTTTAAGATCACGTATTTGTGTTGTCTATAATTTATTAAAAATAGTATTAAATAATTATGAAAGAACCTCCCATACAATTTACATGATCTATTGCTAGTTGTTCTTAATACTAGTGGACTTCTTAATAGCTGTAATGATTGTCAATAACATTCGTAATTCATAATCCAAATGTAGTCAGTTCTGATAAAAGTGAGAAATAATATTTATCCTTAACGAGATAAGGCAAATGTTGCAAGCGTACACACACGTTAACCGCTTACCGTCAGGTGGGCGTTATACTTTTTTTGCCACCGTTGTGGCATATAGAAAAAAGGTGTATCGCCATTAAAGACTTGAAAAGCTTTATCAAATCAAAATAGTTATAATTTTAAAAACGATTATTGATTTGCCAATAAAAACAGTACGGGAGTTATAATACGTTATAATACGGGAGTTTAACGTTATCGCGTATCGTCACGTCCTCGTCACGTCACAACTAAAACGTTTTTGATAACCTGTCTCCGAATAAATCGTAAAAGACGCATTTCCTTAAGACGAACTATAATATTATACTTTTAAATATACATAAACGTGGGCTATATGTTAATAATATAGTAATCTAGTCTATTATGTTTACTTTGATAATTAATTACATCTCCTCGTTCTACTAATCATGGGGTCTCTGATCCGTTTACTACCGACGATTTAAACGGTACTCTTTGTAGAAATTCCACATTTTGTGGGCAATATCATATTTCAAGACACTAACGTTTTTGTAGTTTTTGAACCCACGTGTTTATTTACAGATTTCGTTTATACTAATATCTATATAAATTAATTTTAGCTTTTTCTAGGTTTTCTTTTATGAATTAGTTTATCTTATTAGAACTTGTACCTACCTACAACTTGTATTGTATTGTTTTCCTCAAAAGCTATATATTTCTAGGTATCGAAGTAATATAGACCATTCACAGATTTAACGATAAACTTACAATAGTCAGTTATTTAATAGTATCGAGTCTTAATCGACTGCCACGTTGGCCGAGTGGTCGCAAGTGCGACTACCAGGCAAGGGGTCTCGAGTAGTGGGTTCGATTCCCGGGTCGGGCAAAGTATAGCTGGGTTTTAAAAAAAAATCTCAGTAGTAGCACGGAGTCTGAAATTGTGCCCGATATATGGGTGCAATGTGGAGCAATGAGGGAGACGTGTTACTGTTAGGAATATCTTTAATTGAGTGTCTAATAACTAACTTACACTACTTACTTATAGGGTGAGGTGTCACACACACTACATGGGTAACAGTACACGGGACTCATAATACAAATAGTGAAAAGTGGGTGTTACATTGCACAGTGGCATTAAGTGCTGTAATGTGCACCTCTGCCTACCCCTTTGGGGATAAAAGGCCAGATGTTATGTTATGAGTCATAATTCCAGCTATAATATAGTTGGATAAATCCACTTAGTTAACTACCCATATGTAAGTTTGTATCATAATAAACACTAAATCTAGACCCGTTATAATTCCACGATGAGTCTACAAGACTAAGACTCGTCTAGATCGATGCATCTGATGCAGATCTTTACCTTCCACCTTCGAGTCAGAATCTATTGTTTGAGTTAAACTAAACATGTTTGTAATAACTACGACGGGCAAAGTTCACATCAAATAACATCTCGTTAGAACAACCTGCTACACTGACATACCTCTTTACTATATAAACTGTTTAATTATTTATAGGTATCACCATGCCTTTTGTCCGAAATGGCAAGTAATGTCCCCCATTAGTTATGTTACAAGTCCTATGTAATAGGGGGTGAGCAAAATGCCATATACCGGTCACAATTATAATTTTAATTAGTTTTGATGGACATCATATTCAACAGTTTCATTAAAAGTATTCTTATTTATATATCTAAGGGCTAACGTTGATCTTCTTAACATAAAACAATACAATACGACAATCGTAAAGACTATGATAACCACCAGCCAAGCATACAGAATTCATTATTCATGTTGTTGGATGAGTTATTTGAAATATATATTCACACGTCGTAAACGTACATACTTTTAAAAATTACTACAAAAACACTAGCTTCTCTACTTACTAGGATGTATTACTTGAGTACTTCTAGTGGCATCTTAGTTCAGGTCATGATGCGGAGCGAGGTGGACTGGGATGCCGTCTCCTCCTTTTGCGAAGCAGTCATGCTAGCTAAGGAGGAGGCGTGGACTCGCAACGGAGCCATCGCGAAGGACACACCGGGCGTCGGGGATCGCGGGACGATCTCTGGCCACCGTAAGCGCAGGCCTGCAGACGGCAAAGCATGGGTGGCTCCCCGTCCGACCAGAAACAGACCCGAGCGTATGGCGCGTAGCGTTCCGCGCGCAAGAGCTCAAAGAGCCATCAGACCACCACAGATGGGGCCCAACAGGGCCGATGCCGATTCGGATTCGCGGAGAACCTAACGGGTAACCGGGGCTCCGGCTCGACGTTCAGGAGAAGGAACGGGGTGGTTTTTAGTCAGTAAGAGTCTGACACTCCCTCCCGCCTCACCCGGGCGGGAGCAGTCATTCGATGATTTTCCCCCTTAAAAAAAAAGTGGCATCTTAGA